GGTTTGAAGTTATATCACTCTTCTTAGCCATATTTACTGTATATATTATTACTGAATCACTTTTTGTATCTATATAAGTTCCAGCAAAATTTGAATCATCTAGATATGGTTCTAATATTTTATTCACCTTATTTAAATGCTGTTCTTTCTCTAGGTACCTTGGTACTTGATGAAATGGTATATTCCATAATCTTGCTAATTGTTCTTGAGCATGAACCATTAAATGTTTTTGGTACATAAAAATAAATAATACATTTATTACAAAATATATGAATTTCATGTTAATAGATGCATAAAAGAAAAGCAAAGACAGATATTTATTTATTTACTTATCACTGTTAGACATTTATATATGCACGTAGTATTAATATCCACGTTATTGAATGATGGCAATATAATTCTGATGTTTAATGAACAGCTGATCCATTATCGATGATTTTTATTTTACTTTTGTAACTTCCTGAAAAATTATGCGGCTAAATAATTTACGAATCCGTATCACGTTAATTTGAAATAGAAATAATCCCGTAACATGTTAATTTGAAATAAAAATTCTTTTCATTTGATCATCTCTATTAACCTATACCGGGAACGTAATGGTACAAAGATAATTCGGCAACGATCAACAATGTAAAATACAAAAGTTAGTGCATGTACTAGAAATGTAATTAATGGTGTATTAAGAACTCAAGCGTAATGAAGAGTTTCTAGTAATACAGAAACGGAGTGAAACGAAGTGTATGAGGGTGAAATAATGTGCAAATACGGGCTTCTGATTGGATATGATTCTGGTATCTTGATTTGAGTGTCGCTAAAAGAAAACCCGAAAATTTTAAATATGACTTATATTTAAATTTCGGGTTTTCTTTTAGCAACACCCATTTATATCTTGTTTATCTAGCACGTGTTATTAGAGATGGGTTTCATGCGTGCGCATGATTGCGGTATCATGCACATTTTATCCCATCAAGATTTCTCTCCACTCGATCAATTTTTCTTTTTTTTGCATTTTTTTTTATCATGCGATATCATGCGCATTAATGCGCATGTTATTATAATATGTGCATTTTCCCCATCACTACGTGTTATATATGCAGATTTTATTTGGTTATTCTCAAACCAGTCGAACACGTTTATTTTATAATTACGGGAAATTAGAATGAAGATGGTCATGAATAACAAATATTTTACATTTATCATAGATACGAGCTTATTGCACTATTCTATAGTTATGTAATTAGAAATTATAGTTTTGTAATTAGAAATTATAATTTTTAATTAGAAATTATAGTTATGTTATCAGAAATTGTGTATGGGGTTTTTCGTCTATATGCAATCTTATTTTCCTAATTTGCATACCCGATCCAAGGTCACGCGAAAAGTAACAAAAATGTTACTTATGGTACTTATGGTACTTATGTCACTTCTGCTACTTTGGCCATATTTGCGTTAAATGACATATCGGCCTTTTAAGGGATATCTGGCATTTATGGCATAAATTGATTACGAATGTAAATAAGACGTTTATTATAAATAAAGCCCCGGGAAACGATGTCAAGTCGTCCCTTATACAAATAAAACTTCCAGTACAAATAAATATCCGATCCATAATAAAAATATAAGTGCAATAATAAACGAATAAACAATCGCTAATCCCACTGTTGTCCATATCGTTCGCCCATTTATAAACCACTAATCCGCCATTGATCGCTCGCCGCAAGTCACGTGACAATACCGTTAACGTAATAGAGGAAGTTCCAACCCCGATTCGACGTAGTGTAATCCCGGGTTGAGGTAGACAAGAGAAGACTAGATTAGTAAGAGAAGAGGTTAAAGGAAAGACACAAAGAGAAGAGACAAGTACTTACCTACGGATAAACCACCAGCCAAATCTAACACGCCTATTTCGACTTAGCCGCCGTAGTAGGTTACGCGAGAGTTGGATTAGTTTAGCGACAGACTCTCCGATTTCCGGAATCACACTACTGTATGTGTAGCATGTTATATCTTGATTTCTCTAATTTGTACAAGCCTGTGAATTATAGTTCTTACGCATTCAAATGATTCTAATCGTTTATTTAGTACTGTAATCATTTTTGTAATCGTATTGCAATCTAAGCTCTTTGACGAGAATTTAAATAAAGTCAGCAATATTGATAAAATATCACATACGTTTTGAATAAATTCTCGAATATATCGTAACTATACTTGAATTTGCAACGTTATCATTTCAAAGTATTGATTAATCATATTTCATAAAAAGAAACTTTTGCACAGACGTTATCTATATAATAAAAAAGCGATATAATAATGAACAAAAGGGGATAACAGGTGACATGCAAATTTCTCTAATATGACATGTCAAGTAACCTATAACGATAAGAAATGAAGTGATATTTTAAATCTGCAATGAAATTACATACAGTAACTGTAGTGCATATATTTACAGCGGTTCTGATCAACTCACAGACAATCTCTTCATAGACATCACATTTCACCGAAAATTATTCGCCGACATGTTCATTTCACCGATAGTTTATTTCTCCAAAGCTCATTTCACAGACAAAATAGTTTTAGAATAGTGCTCCTAATGGGAATTCCCGAAATTGACCTAGTTATAATATTGGTCATGACCTATACCAGGAACGGAGTTTGTACAACGTACAACGTAGAGTATGGTTTATAGGCATCTGAAATGGTGTGTCTCTTT